CGCCCTCTTTTTGGCTTAGATTTCCCCCCGAGGGGTGAGGCGCCCTCTCTCACAGAGCCGCGCGCAGGCCGAGAACAGGCCCAAAACCAGGCGTCAATATTTTCAAAAATATTGACGCCCTCTTTTTGGCTTATTTCCTCCCGATGGGGTGGCGTGCCCTCCCTCGCAGGGCCGCGAACAGGCCGAGAACGTGCCCGAAACCAGGCGTCAATATTTTCGAAAATATTGACGCATTCATTTTGGCTTAGAGTTCCTCACGAGGGGTGAGGCGCCCTCTCTCACGGGGCCGCGAACAGGCCGAGAACATGCCCAAAACCAGGCGTCAATATTTTCAAAGGTATTGACGCCCTCTTTTTGGCTTAGATTTCCCCCCGATAGGGGTGAGGCGCCCTCTCTCGCAGGGCCGCGCGCAGGCCGAGAACATGCCCAGAACCAGGCGTCAATATTTTCAAAAATATTGACGCCTTCTTTTTGGCTTGGATTTCCCCCCGATGGGGCGAGGCGCCCTCTCTCTTGCAGGGCCGCGAACAGGCCGAGAACAGGCCCCAAACCAGGCGTCAATATTTTCAAAAAATTGACGCCCTCTTTTTGGCTTAGATTTCTTCCCGATGGGGCGAGGGGCCCTCTCTCACGGGGCCGCGAACAGGCCGAGAACAGGCCCAAAGCCAGGCGTCAATATTTTCAAAGGTATTGACGCCCTCTTTTTGGCTTAGATTTCCCCCGATGGGGCGAGGCGCCCTCTCTCGCAGGGCCGCGAACAGGCCGAGAACAGGCCCAAAACCAGGCGTCAATATTTTCAAAAATATTGACGCCCTCTTTTTGGATTAGATTTCCCCCGATGAGGTGAGGGGTCCTCTTTCACAGGTGCAGGAGGGAGAGGCAGGATGCATCGCCAAGCGTTGTCGTCGCTGCTAGCGCATCGAAGTTCGGGTGGGCGGTCCTCCAGATGTCTGCGTGGAAGACAGCTGGTCTAAAGCCTGGCGTCGGGCCGGCGACGACGAGGCGACGGCGGTTGACGTGCAGCGACTGCGCCGACGAGAATCAGTCAGACAGTCAGAGATACAGGCGGTACATTTCTGAACGACGATACACATTGCGTCAGAGATGATATCACATGAATTTGATGTTATTCAGAGATAGTCTCTGATCGTGCATCATAGGCGTCAGAGATCATCTCTGAAGCGGTGGTCGTGCATCAGATATGTTCCGCTTGACGTATCATCAGATATGATCTCCGAACATGCATGGATGGAATTCAGAGATGATCTCCGAACGGGACATCTCCTGTCATTGCCAATACATGGCATGACATCGCGCGTTCAGAGATGATCTCTGATATCCACCATGCGTCTCAGAGATGAACTCTGAACCGTTAATGTGACACTGATCCATGACGTGCCCTGTTTTTGCGAGTTCAGAGATGAGCTCTGAATGTGTACACGACTTCAGAGATAGTATGTGATGTGTGCCATTGGATTCAGAGATGATCTCTGACACCGGCTTCGCGTTCAGAGACTGACTCTGAAAACGCACGTCGGTGTCAGAGATGATCTCTGAACCCCATGGAGTCCCCAGAGACGGTCTCTGAATCCAACACACATGTCAGAGATGAGCTCTGATGGCAGGTCATATCCAGAGATGATCACTGATGGTCATCGACGCTCAGAGATGGTCTCTGAGACAACGTCATGACATCAAAGATGGTCTCTTATATGACCCTGCATTTCAGAGATGATCTCTGACAGTGGTCTATGTGCCAGTGCCAGAGACGAGCTACGATCGCCAGCCCACTGTGTCAGAGACGAGCTCTGAAACCTAGCGGCCTCTCAGAGATGATCTCTGAATCACGGCGTTGTCTCAGAGATGATCTCTGAACCCCATCAGCCCCTCAGAGATGATCTCTGAAGCGTAGCTGTGGGTTCAGATACGATCTCTGAAGCGTAGCTGTGGGACACGATACCTTGCATTGATAGAACATCTCGAACGGCGTATATGTGGTGGCAGAGAAGCGGGCCTCAGATGCGACTTACTCTGCGAAAGGCTACCATTCTCCTTAGATGCCTCAGGAATCGGGGTAGTGGTGGGCATGACGCGCACCCCCTTGGCGAGCGGCTGCATGATGCGCGTGTGCGCGCCACCCTGAGTAACCGCATTCGTCTCTTCATCGGCCCCTGCGGGGCCGACGTCGGCGCTCTCTAGATCGCCAGGCTGCCAAGGGGGTGACGTTGAGAGCGTGGCGTCGCAACTGCGCCCACCGTCCGTGCCGACACATTCGTGGGCCTCGCCGCCACTGGGTTGACAGACAGCATCGAAGGTGCTCGGCAGTGTGTCATCCTTGATATCGCTCAGCTCGCATAGCTCATCATCTCGCTTTTCACGTGCACAACCTTCATCACAATCTGCTTTTGCATCGCTGCTCTCACTGACGGAAGTAGGCGTGTGACCATCGCGAGACTGACCGTGTTTGATATCAGTGTTTTGATCTGGCTTGAAGCAAGCCTTACATGTTGCCCATCTTTCAAAGCAATTACTAGCAAACTCTATGACTGGAAGCGATCGGCCGCAACCTAGATCGATATCTGGTTGACAATTTAAATGCCATTTGCACTTTGGTAGCAAGTTCAAGCGGGCACGAATATCATTCCCAGCGTCTGGATCACGGCTGTCAGACATAATAGCGTTCGTGATTGCTCAGTTCAAAGGGTGTTGTTTTTATTCTCGGGCCCTGGTAAACATCTGTAGAATCGCAGAGCATGCAGTATATTGCTCTGTAACGAGTGCACAGAAATTATTATCACTCCGATTGCAATAGCAGGCCTTCAGATATCATGTCTTGATGCACTCACGTAATCAGAGATGCTCTGGGATAGTGACGTGCGTTCAGATATGATATATGAAGGCCTGCTTGATGCTATCAGAGATAATATCTGCAGCCGAGCATTCCTCCAGCCCGAGTGATTAGGACATTCGACTTGCTGTCGTGCTAGCACGCGCATACACATGCCAGCCCACACCGCGTGGAGTCAAGGTTTCCATATGGCACAACATGCACGCAACGCGCAACCCACAATTCACCAACCAGATCGGGTTGGCTAGGCTCTGGCGTTGCCGCGCCAGCCTAGGAACTGCGTGAACTTAACCTAGGCTGCCTAGGTTAAGTTCACGCAGTTCCTGTCATCGGCTCAGGTGAAATAGCGACTGCACCTCCTTCTGCTATCAGTCACGGGGGGGTTGCGTTGTGCGTCGGTGTTGTTGAGTGCGGGCGCGCTTGCAAGCATAGCGCACACGGTGCGATCTTGCTGTTCTCTGAGACCTTCCGACTCCGTTTACACCCCCCCCCCGTCCCCCATCCGTGCTCAACCCCAGCATTACCATCCCAGGCATCTCCTTGGTATGCCGTCGTGCCAGCCTCTTGTTCTCAAGCGAGCGCCGACGCCAGCGTCGCACTCGCCCGCTCCGACGGACCGACATACACCCGCGTGATGGCGAGCAAGGTCGGAGGGGATCTACAGTTCGCCTTCACCTCCCAATCTCCGCGCCCTCTCATCCCCCCCTCCAGAGAGCAGCGGGGGTTCGCCCATCGGGCGAGCTCTGGGTGGCGACTTCTGCGTCGTCCTCAGAGTCGATCGCGCGAGCCTCCTGGCTGGGCGGCAGGGCGTGGAGGGGATGAAGCGCTGCCAGGGGGGCGGGGGGGGGGGGGGGGGCTGGCAAGGAGAGAGGGCTTTGCAAATGCAAACACATTGCGGTTGGCGTTTTCGGTTTCGACGCGGTCACCTTGGTGCATTAAAATAGCGTAGGGGGTGTGGCTGTGGCTCCAAGGGGCATCTAGACCAACCCGCGTGGCCCAGGACAACTACTACCTAACCCTTGCCGCGCCCCCCCCTCCCCCCCCCCCCCCCTACCCCGCGAAAGAACGCAATGGGAATAACAAGTCCTTCCAAAGCCTCGGCATGCTAGCATTGTAATAACAACCGCAATGTGTTTTCAACCGAAACACAACACGTTCGGTTTCCGACGTGGCGTTCGCCAGCAGAGGAATCCCAGGGATGTCCGAAGGTCCGAAGGCCCAGATGCACCCAAATAAGATGACGGTGACGATAATGCTTATGTAAGGGTGGTGCGATGTTGATGGTGCTGATGTTTCATTCGCCGCAGCTGGTGCGCAGGGGCCGTTCCCAAGTAGAGGGCGGCGCCCGCGCGCCGATGGAGCCGCGGGGCCCGCTCCAGGGCGCGCGCCGCGTGCTCGATGAGATCGCGCGCGCGGCTGCGGCCGCCGCCGTGCCGCCGCGCCCCGCGCTCAAGAACCCGCCGCCTCGCGCGCCGCCGCCGCCGCTTGCGGCCGACAGTCCGCAAGACAAGACTTGCGCGAGCACCGACCTGCCGCTTTCGCGCAAGCGCGCGGGGGCACCTCCTCCGTCTAAGCGCCCTCGCCTCGAGAACGACGCAGCGCTGGAGCCAAGCGCGGCGGTTGACAAGCCGCCCGCATCTGCAACCAGTCGCGCCGAGCCGCCTGGCCCCCCCGATGATGCGGGTGGGGCTGCTGCCCCGCGCTCGCGGGCAGAGAGCGAAGCCGCCTCGGCGTAGGCCGCAGTGATGATGGTGAGGCGGGGGGGGGGGGGGGGGGGGGGGGGCGGGGGGCGTTGGGGGCGCCGCCCAGAATGAGCCCAGGTTCCGTTGTGAACACATAATCACAACGGTGCGCTGGCAACCGCCACGCGTTTCAATTGCGGCCCAGGCGGGGTCCGCGTGCTAAGAGGGGGAGAGATGGCGTCGCATAAAACATAAAAGTTGCTATGATGGGCGCAAAGGATGACGACAGAAGGAGGGGCCCTACGGGGGAGGGTGAGGACAGGGGGAGGGTGAAGAGATGATGCGGGTGAGGGGGAAGTGAAGTGATGATGCGGATGCGGTGAGGAGGAGAAGGGGGAGGCGACAAGTGAGGAGGGATAATGGACGGATAGGAACGCTGAGGGAGGGTATTTGTTGGAGTACCACGCAAGGGCGCCAGCGGCAGCAGCGGCAGCAAGGAGCTGCAGACGCCGACCAGCGCGTTGCATGACATGGTCGAAGGCGAGCAGGCGCCCGATGGGATCAAGACCCACGAGGCGTTCGAGGCGGCCGCGGCCGCTGCTACTGCCAAGCACGCCGACGCAGACCCCAGCTACTACCAGGAGCTCACCGACGGCAGGACCATCGAGGACCGCTTTGGGGAGCAGGGTTCCCGCCGCTGGCAGAAGGTGATGTCCCTGTGCGAGATCTCGAGAGGCGGGGCTGATCCCTCCTACCCTTTGCCCTGCTCTTCCACCCATCCACTGATTCACCCTGCCGTGCCCGCCCTTCTCGCAGGCACGGCGCTGCCCTTTTTCAAGAAGAAGGCCGGCCACGCCGAGGCGACGGTGATCAAGATCGAGAGCGGCAGGAAGATGGTCAACAAGGAGCAGCTGGATCGGTGCCTCGTTCGCAGCAAGCACAACCCACGCCAACAGGCCACTGTTGCCAAGGAGTACTGCAAGAGCGTCCTCGAGAATGGCTTGCAGATGAGTTGCAGGGGCGCCCCGATCGCCGTCATGGGGGCCGCGAAGGACAGCATCGAGTTCCAGATGTTGGCGGGGGCAACGCTCATGGAGGGATATTTCCTTGCAGTGGAGACGGATCCTGAGAACGAGTTTGTTGTAGCGGCTGCTGAATCAGGATACCAGAATTGCATTGTGCTGAGGGGCGACACCCCCACCGACGTGCTCATTTGGGTGATGAATGCACACAATAAGTTCCACGGCGGCGCGATGACATCTTTCCTTGAGCTGATCGAAGGCGTGGACAACGTAATCACTGGTTGGAGGAACCATTGCCAAGCACAGAACATCACGGTGGGCGGCTGTCCGACGAAAGGGCCTCTCAGGTATGAGGCGTTGATGATGAAGTGCGTTTCCGAAAAGCACAAGCAGTGCGCCAACTATGACGAGTGCAGGAACGCTAAGGGATTCAAAAACAAGATGGCGAGCATCGGCGTGTACGGAGAATGGAAGGGCTTCATGGAGCGCGCGTGCGAGTTCTTGCACAAGGGTTTGGAACCAGCTCGCATGATCAGGATGCTCTACGAGTGCTTGATGCTCATTGAGGGTTTCCGCGATGCCTCAGACGATTACGTGTTGAACATCGTTCTGGTCGAGCTGTTGAAGTTCGTCGTTCCGCTCGACCCCTCTTCCGAAGAGTTTGAGTTCTACTCCGAGGCCAGCCTTTTCAACGCGGAGAACAACATGAAGCCTCTTTCGACGGTTGCGTTGCTGAAGCTTCCGATTGGCGGGTCCGTCCTCTACGACAAGGCTAAGATCGCTGCCAAGGCTGGGACCAAGGCAAACAAGGATGCGAAAGCCAAGGCGAAGGCCAAGGGCAAGCCGAAGCAGCAGGCAAAGGCGCGCTCGGACAATGGAGAACCGAACCCGAAGTCGGCCAAGACAGGACCAGTACCCGAGGAGGAGCAGCTGGACTTGCTGTACATCGACGACAAGGGCAACGCGAAGGAGAAGCGTTTTCTGCACGATTTCTGCTGCGCCATTACTTCGATCCTCCAGTTCGTGGACGAGGGGAAGAGGAAGAAGAAGGACATCATAAACGTCGTGCGTATCGGGCTCGACTTCACGTTCGTCGGCGCCGTGGAGGTCGAGGGCAGGGAGCTGAAGCAGTGGTCGAAGGTGCGCTCCCACATGAAAATGCTGCTCATCAGGGCCCACAAGCAGGCTCTGCTTCTGAATTTGCGGGCCGAGAACGGGGCTGGGGCGGTCACCGACTCCGAGGGCGGAGTCACCGAGGCCATCGCTCGGACGATCGGCGACGACGATTTGTTGGCGCAGCAGCAGGGTCAGGGCCAGCAGGACGACGCCGCCCCCCACATGGCGAAGGACCCCCGCTCCCCGCACGTTCAGCGTGCCTTGAACAGGTTGGCTCCGTTCGGCAAGGACACAGATTTCCTGCTCCAGGTCCAGGCCGATCAAACGTCGGCCCCGCGTCCAGTTAACGCGTGGTCGTTGCCAGTAGGCCAGAGGCCTTTGGGCAATGACCACGTAGTGGACGCGGGGTCGCGACGTTTGCGCTAGGTGTACAATTCCAAGGACAAGGTGGGCAAGCCGAACACGCCACTCAAACTCCGCGCCGAGTACCTGCACGTCTTGAACGTCGTTTCGCCTGACATCGAGGCGATCAAGGCCGAGAACCCCGACGACGCGTCGGCCCTGCCTCAGATCGTTCGTGCCTTGCAGCCCATCATATTTGCTTCGTTTCCAGTCAAGCTCATGGCGTTCTTGCAGGGAGTCAACGACGTGGTGATTGCCGTGGCCGCGTCCAAGAAGATCGGCGACAAGCACGCCGACATCTCGTGTGCATCCCATGGCGTGTTCGAGAAGATCGGCGAGTTCAACCAGCAGAAGGTCAACCGCTACGACATCACCCTCGGCATCTTGTGGGCGTTGCTCGTCGGCGATGGCAGGGCGTCGGTCGCTGACTACTCGGGGAACCTGATGCAGATGAGGGGCGCTGATCAGGATAAGCTCGTGAACGCCGAGTTGAAGATCATCGACCAGGAGGCGTGGGTGAAGTGGTGGCTGGACGCGGTTCTGAAGGGCAAGAGCTCGGTCCTCCCCGCCGAGACGGTTGCCGCGGCCCCCGAGGGCGGCGCCGACGAGAAGGCCGAGGACGAAGAGGAGGCCGTCGAGGAGACCGAGGCCGCAGGTGTGGAAGAGGCGCTGGTGCCGCTGCTGCCTCCGACCTCTGCGCCGAAGACGCTGCTCACTGAGATGGCGGGGTCCTCGGGCGGCAACGCGGTCGAGTACTTGTTCATGAGGACGGTCGAGGCTTGGCTGTTCACTTCAACGCAGTACAGGACGGGGCTCCAGATCATGAAGCCAGACAAGGGCCACGGTGACGTGCTGCTGGTGAAAGACGAGATGAGCGAGAAGGAGAAATACAAGATGCAGGCTGCAGTGCGCAAGGCCAACATCATGCTGACGTTCATCGGCAAGGTTACCAAGGTGCCGTCCAAGGGGGCGCTCTTCTTGTGCGAGGCGTTCGGCGTGAACTTCTACGTCGAGGTTGGTTCGCACGGCGTGATCGGAGGCACGGCGCCGCTGGTCCCTGCATGGATCGTCCCCGAGGTCGCGAAGCAGGCCATGCCGACCATGACGGTCATATGGCCGTACTCTTTGAACCGATGATGGGTCTCTCTCTCTCTCTCTCTCTCTCTCTCTCTCTCTCTCTCTCTCTCTCTCCCTCTCTCTCTCCTCTCCCTCTCTCTCTCTCTCTCTCTCTCTCTCTCTCTCTCTCTCTTTCTTCTCTAAAGAAGAGAGAGAGAAGAGAGAGAGAGAAGAGAGAGAGAGAGAGATAGAGAGAGAGAGAGATAGAGAGAGAGAGAGAGAGAGAGAGAGAGAGAGAGAGAGAGAGAGAGAGTAATAGAGAGAGAGAGAGAGAGAGAGAGAGAGAGAGAGAGAGAGAGAGAGAGAGAGAGAGGACAATGAGAAGGATGAGGAGAAGGAGGATGAAGGACGAGGAGTGGTAGGAGGAGGGCGAAGAGGAGGAGGAGGAAGAGCAGGAGGATGGGGATGGAGGAGGAGTGGGGGAGAGGGGGATGGGGGAGAAGGAGGAGGAGGAGGTGGAGGAGGAGAAGGGGGAGGATGATGAGGAGGAGAGGCTAAGGAGGGATGGGGGGGGGGGGCCTCGGCTGGGGCCCCCAGGTCCAGAAGGAGGTGGTCTCGTACCTGTGCCGCCACATGGACTCCCTGGGCCACACGGCGACGACGGAGTTCAAGGCCAGCCTTGGCATGGGGGGATGGCGGGTCAGGCGAGGAGGGGGCGCAGGAGGATAGGAGGAAGAGCAGAAGGAGTCAGGGGGAGGGGGAGGGCGCGGAGGAGGAGGAGGAGGAGGAGGAGGAAGGGGAGGTTAGAGCAGAGGAGGAGGAGGGGGGGAGGCAGGGAGAGAGATAGTGAGGGAGGACGGCGCCGAAGAGGTCGGCGTCATCGGCTCGTCGGTCGCTCGCGACTTCGCCGCCGCCGCCCGTCGTCGTCGCCGTCGCCCCGCGCGCAGGTGACCCTCCACAGGCTGGTGGTCAACGCCGACTTCACGGCGTCCGTCGAGGGCGAGGCTGGGGAGCTCGTGAACCTCGCGCGCCCTGCGATTGTGGGCGCCGTCACGAAGGACGAGTCCAAGGGGTTCCAGGACCGCCAGGGGTAGGGCAGGATGGTTGCATCGCCCAGCGTAGGCGATCAGACCATAGAGACGAGGAGGAGGAGGAGGAGGAGGAGGAGGAGGGCGATGGCGGCATGAGAAGGGATAGGATAAGGGGGGGGGAGGGGGATGGCGAGGGAGGAGAGGGAGGAACAGGGGGTGGAGGAATGGAGGAGGAGGGGGTGCACTCCCCGCCTTTGCCCTGCCCGTCGGCGCGCCGACGTCCGACGTCGTCTTCAGTCGCCAATCGTCAGTCGAGGCCGACGTCGTCATCCGACGTGCGTCGCCGCTCGAGGCGAGGTTGCTCGTCGGCCGGCCCGTCGCCGTCGCGGCCGCCTCCAGGCCATCGGCCCATCGGCCCATTGGCGGTGCCGCCCCCGCGCCCCCCCGACAGGCTGCCGCGAAGGCCGCGCGGGTCTCGGGCTCGAGCAACAAGACTACGCTCAAGAGCTCTGACTACTTGACCCTGACCTCGGGGGACAAGGTTCAGGACGTCAAGTACGCCCACCTGCTGAGCTAGCTCTGGGTAAGAAACAGCAATGTGCCAAGATGAGGGCAACGTGAATGACGAGGAGGATGAGGAGGAGGAGGAGGAGGGCGTGGATGATGAGGGGCAGGACAGGAACGCCAACTATGATTTGAGGACAAGGAGGGTGAGCACGGGGGAAGAACGGTGGCTGAGAATGAGCATGAGGAGGGGTCGGCTGAGGAGGAGGAAGGAGGAGGGAAATTTACGAGGAGGAGGAGGGGCAGGAAGACCTCCTGGGGCCCTTTCTCACAGGGGCGAGCAGGCCGAGAACAGGCCCAAAACCAGGCGTCAATATTTTCAAAAATATAGACGCCCTCTTTTGAACATAGATCTCCTCCCGATGGGGCGAGGGGCCCTCTCTCGCAGGGCCGCGAACGGGCCGAGAACAGGCCCAACACCAGGCGTCAATATTTTCAAATATTGACGCCCTCTTGTTGGCCTAGATTTTCCCCCGAGGGTTGGGGCGCCCTCTCTCGCAGGGCCGCGAACGGGCCGAGCACAGGCCCAAAACCAGGCGTCAATATTTTCAAAAATATTGACGCCCTCTTTTTGGCTTAGATTTTCCTCCCGATGGGGCGAGGGCCCCTCTCTCGCAGGGCCGCGAACAGTCCGAGAACAGGCCCGAAACCAAGCGTCAGTATTTTCGAAAAATATTGACGCTCTCTTCTTGGCTTAGATTCCCCGCCGAGGGGTGGGGCGCCTTTTCTCGCAGGGCCGCGAACAGGCCGAGCACGGGCCCAAAACCAGGCGTCAATATTTTCAAAAATATGGACGCTTTTTTTTGGCTTAGATTTCCACCCGATGGGGTGAGGGGCCCTCTCTCACAGGGCCGCGAACAGGCCGAGAACAGGCCCGAAACCAGGCGTCAATATTTTCAAAAATATTGGCGCTCTCTTTCTGGCTTAGATTTCCTCCCCAGGGGCGAGGCGCCCTTCCTCGCAGGGCCGCGAACAGGCCGAGAACAGGCCCGAAACCAAGCGCCAACATTTTGAAAACAAATGTTGGCGCCCTCTTTTTGGCTGATACTTCCCCCCGACGGGGTGAGGGGCCCTCTCTCGCAAGGCCGCGAACAGGCCGAGCACAGGCCCAAAACCAGGCGTCAAAATGTTCAAAAATATTGACGCCCTCTTGTTGGCCTAGATTTCCTCCCGAAGGGTGGGGCGCCCTCTCTCGCAGGGCCGCGAACAGGCCGAGCACAGGCCCAAAACCAGGCGTCAATATTTTCAAAAATATTGACGCCCTCTTTTTGGCGCAGATCCCCCCCCGATGGGGCGACGCCCTCTCTGGCAGGGCCGCGAACAGGCCGAGAGCAGGCCCGAAACCAGGTGTCAATATTTTCAAACATATTGACGCCCAATGTTTGGTCTAGATCACCATTTTCCTGCTCCTCCTCCTCCTCCGCGCGCGCGCGTGCGTCCGCGCGCGCGCGCGCGCACACGCACACGCGCACACACGTGCCATATTGAGCTGTTTCTCACCCAGGGCAGGCAGTGGGCCTAGGGGCAGCCTGGCCCCGTTTGCGGGAGGCTGGTATTCGATTTAGTTTTTGAATTGAACGGGTGTGGCGGCGGTCTCAGGGATCCAGGGCTCCAGGGACCCCCGAGACTCTCCAGGGCGAACCGACCCGACGCGTCGCTTCGGATCGCCGCCATCCACCCGCTCTGGAGGCGCGCGCGCTCGTGCACGCAACTAGTTGATTTAGGCCCGCCCTCGCCGTGATACCAATGTGCGGCGCGGCAGGGCGGATGTTTGTGTTCGCGCGCCTGCGCCATAGCGTACCATCTCCGCCACCTCTTGTTCCTGCGCGGTTTCGTCGACCGCCTGCAACGCGTCGCAGGCCGCCCTTGCTTTGCATGGGAAGGAAGCGGGTGGGCGGAGGAGGAGGAGGAGGGGAGGAGGATGAGGGAAGGGAGGGGGGGGGGGGGTAGGGAGCACGCGATGAGAAGGACAGGGGGGAGACTGAGGGGATGAGGGGAATAATGCTGATGATGAGAAAGAGGATGGGGGGAGGGGAAGGAGGAGGAGGAGGAGGAGGAGGAGGAGGAGGAGGAGGAGGAGGAGGAGGAGGAGGAGGAGGAGGAGGACGAGGGGGATTGCGGAGGAGGTGGACAAGCCTTATGAGAAGGAACTTCTCGTCGCAGTTTAGACGTTGCCGCCGTCGCGTTGTCGCTCCTTTTGCTCGGTTACCCGTCTGATATAATGAGAGCTCGGGGTAGTGCTGATGTTAGTTTCGGTGCCGACGGTGCTTGCGATGTTTGCGGTGGACGTTGCGGCGCTCGCAAAGCTGAGCGGCGAGGCCCTCATGGATGCGCAGTTGATCGTCGGAGATGCCACGGCGCGGGCTTCAGAGAGAGCCTGCCAGTTGCATCTCCGACGGGCAGGCGCCGTTTGAGGAGCTTCACTTTTCGGCCTTGCGAGTTCCATTCTCAGCCCTGGCCTACACCCTCCAGGGCACACTATCCCATGAGGGGCAGGCCGATGGGCGCGATGCCCACGTCTGATGCTGATGCTGCTGATGATGATGCTGATGATGCTGCTGCTGCGGATGATGATGATGCTGACGATGATGATGATGATGATGATGATGATGATGATGATGATGATGATGATGATGATGATGATGATGATGATACAGATGATGATGATGATGATGATGATGATGATGATGATGAAGGTGAAGATGATGATGATGATGCTGATGCTGATGATGATGATGCTGATGCTGATGATGCTGATGATGATGATGAAGCTGATGATGATGATGATGATGATGATGCTGATTCTGATGCTGATGCTGATGGAGATGATGCTGATTGTGCTGATGATGATGCTGATGCTGATGCTGACGATGTTGACGATACTGCTGATGCGTGTTCTGATGAATATAAGGATGCTGATGATGTTGCTGATGATGATGATGATGACGATGCTGATAGGATTGACGATGATGCTGCTGATGATGATTATGAAGCTGATGGTGCTGATGCTGCTGCTGATGATGATGATAATGATTTGGAGATTCGGATGGAAACTACGATGATGCTGCTGATGATGCTGCTGAGGACGGTGATTATGATGCTGCTGCTGCTGATGATGCTGATGCTTATGATGATGGTGGTGATGCTGATGATGATGGGGATGAGAACGATGATGATGATGCTGCTGCTGCTGATTATGATTATGATGCTGATGATGCTCATGGCGGTAATGATGTTGATGACGCTGAAAGTGATGATGCTGATGATGATGCCGCTGCTGATGATGCTGACACTAATGATGAGGACGATGCTGAAGAGGCGGAGGATAATGGTGATGATGCTGATACTGATGCAGATGCTGATGATGATGAACATGATCACGATGAGTATGATGATCATGGGGATGAGGATTATGATGGTGATGCTGTTGATGATGCTGATTCTGATGCTGATGATACTGATGGTGGCGCTGATGATGCTGATCATGATGAAGATGCTGCCCATGACGACGATGATGCTGATATGGATGCTGATGATGCTGATGAGGATGATGATGCCGATGCTGAAGATACTGATGATGATGACGACAATGATGATGAGGACGATGCTGAGGAGGAGGAGGCGAATGACCATGATGATGCCCAAGCTGATGCTAATGCTGATGCTGATGATGATGTTGATGATGATGGTGATCATGATCATGATGCTGATGCTGATGAGGATGCTGATTATGCTGATGATGAGGACGATGTTGAGGAGGAGGAGGAGGCGACTGATGATGATGATGATGCCCATGCTGCTGATAATGCTGATGCTGATGATGATGAGGATGATGATACTGCTGATGATGGTGCCGATGATGCTGATGATGAGGACGATGCTGAGGAGGAGGAGGAGGAGGCGAATGATGCTGATCATGCCCATGCTGATGCTAATGCTGATGCTGATGATGATGTTGATGCTGATGGTGATCATGATCATGATGCTGATGCTGATGAGGATGCTGATGAGGATGACGCTGATGAGGATGACGATGATGCTGATGCTGATGATACTCATGATGATTATAACGATTAT